TAATAGGTCGAGGTTGAGCTGTACGGATTCCTTGTTGTCAAGTAGACTGAACTGCTCTACCCTTGGGGAGGGGAGTTCAATTTTGACTGGCACTACCGTTTCAGAGCCAAATGATAGTGAAAATGACGTTTCTCCTGTCGGAGTACAAGGTGTTGTTCTGTAGGCCCATAATGCGTTGGGAAGTTCCTCTGCCCATAACCCTTGGAGCTTTTCTAATCTGGTCTTCAGAGTTCTTTTGATGATTTTGTTGATTGCTTCAACCTGTCCATTAGCCTGCGGATGTGCTGGCGAGGAACAAATGTGCTTAATGCTCAACTCCCTGCAAAATTCTCGAAAGGCAGCATTGTCGAACTGCTTCCCATTATCATTGATAATGGTGTAGGGTATTCCGAAGCGGCAAATTATGTTATTCCAGATGAATTTGGTGACCTTTTTCTCAGAAATTGTCGCTAGGGCTTTGACATCGGCCCATTTAATAAAATAGTCGACTGGCAAATTTGGTCTGGTCTTTTCCTAGTGGGAGAAGCCCTATAAGGTCTATTCCCTACTAAGCAAAGGGCCAAGGACTCATTATGCTTGTTAGAGGCTCTGGCGGTTGTCTAGGTACTATTGCAAGCCGTTGGCATTTGTCGCATTTTTTGATGAATCGCTTCGTGCCGTTCAGCATGGTCGGCCAGTAGTACCCTTGTCGAACTATTTTGTGACTTAGGGATCGTGCTCCAGAATGGCTCCTACAAACACCCTCATGTATCTCTCTCATGACGTAGTCAGCTTCGTCGGGCGTTAGACATTTTAAAAGCGGCAACGAGTAGCCTCTTTTGTACAGATTGTCGTCTTTAAGCACATATCTGGCTGCTCGCCGTTGTAGCTACTGGGCCTCTATCTTTTCAGTAGGCAGGATCCCCTCTCAAATATTGATCAAAGGGCTCTTCCAGTTTTCTTCTGGTTGCCCTTGCTCGTCGATATTCATTGCTTCCTGAGCTTCTATGCTTGGCTCGGGTAGAATCTCGATCGGTACAGTTCTGCCTAGGTCGGTTTCATAAGTTGCAGCTAGTCGAGCTAACGCATCGGCGTTGACGTTTTGAGCACGTAGAATTTGTCGAATCTCATATTTTGAGAACTGGTCGAGCTGGTTTTTTACCTGTGAAAGGTATTTCGCCATTCGCGGTTCTCTAGCCTGGAA